AACGGGCTGCCCAATGCCTGGGCACCCAAGAGGCCATGGGCCCCTTGCCTAGGTCTGGTTGGGCCGCCCTAGGCAGAAGTTCCTGGGCGTCCACCAACGCGAGCGTCCAGCGCCCAATCCTAGACAAGTACCAAGGAACTTACATAAAAATGGTGAGATTTTTTTTTTTTATTTTTTTATGGGGCCATTTTGGGTCATTTTGACCCATGAAAAGGGGGTATTCTAATCCCTCATAGTAAATAAAAAATAAAAATAAATAAAAATATAATAATAATAAATAAATAACTTTTCCTGTGCCCTAGAAATACCTAAAATTGATCGATTTTACGATTTTTTTTTAAACAATAAATTTTTGAGAAGTTCTTAGAATCATTTGAAACCTTACCATTTCTTATTGCAATCAATTTTAGGGTCTAAATGAGGTTCTTAGAAGACTCTTGGGGTAATTTTGAGCTTGTTAGACAACTGAAACATTGAAGACAAAAACATCCAAAATATTGAATAATTAAATATCTCCTCGTTCTTCTCATTTGTATAGCATCTGTTGTACCACATTATTTTGTGTTGGTCATTTGGTCTCATTTGAGACTTGGAGTCTATGAGTATGACTATGTATTATGGACTATAGAATATGGTTTATGGACACTAAATCACTAGTAAACTATGTACTTGTGTTTTATCACTATTTTAGTTATTCAAAGAAGCAAAACTTTCAGTGATATGAACGTGTTTGAACATTCACTTGAAGATATTTGTATAAAGAAGATGCCAAGGATACATATAAATGCATAAATGTACATATATAACACATATATGCATATGTGTATATCTCACACCTCTGGGAGCCTGAGGTTCTGGACGGCCACCTAACTGCTGCTGGGCACCCTAGACCAGACCACCCACCCACCCATCCACCCCCGCCCCCCACGGGGTGCCTAAGGAACGCCCATTTTTTTAAAACCTTGGCCATTTATGCGCTATATTTTTGTGAGGAGAGTGGAAGTTTACTTTCGAGAATTTTTGGGGTTGTTTAGGAGAGACCTAGGATGGCTGCAATGTCTATTAACTACCTAGCTCATTTCTACAGCAGAACACTTAGTAATTTGTGACATATACCTGTGTTTAAGACGTGATAAAGCAAAAAAAATAGTCAGCCTCTTACAAGGGATATGCTTGCAGTCATGATAAAGCAAAAAAACAGTTAGCCACTTAAAAGGGATATGCTTGCAGTTATTAGTGAAATAAAGTTTGTTAGGAACTTCTTTGGCTTTATTTTAGAGTTGATGACATCACAAAGAACTGGAATGACGTGGGGTCAAGCTAAGGAACAACAGTAGAGTGAAAGCAGAGGAGGAATAAACTGAAGGGGAGCATAAGCTAAATTTCATTGGTACCAGGAAAATGTTACATAATCACTATTGATAGATTAGTTGAATATTTCAAGAATAATGAACAAGCTTGGAAAGAAGTTGTTCAGAAGGACAATGGATGCCTGCTTGCATGTTAAATGACATTGAATAACAGGAGGAGATCACAGTTCTGAAATTTAAGATAATTTCTTTTAGTAATTTGCATCTAATATAAAAGATATATATTTTTAATTTCAATAAAGAATAGCACAAATTTCAAGTGACTGACCAATACTGCTACTGAACAGGTGCAGAAGAGTTTTACTAACAACCAATAAAGAACACTGAACACCTAAACAATAAAAAAGGGAAATTTACAGATAAATCCCATTTAATGGTCAGAAATTAAAAAACGAAATCCACAGTATCTGTTTTACATTAAAATCTCACTTTCTCCCTTCCTTTTATTCTCAAAGTGCTTTGAACAATGGATCTCCAAACCGCCCACCCAAATTTTTTTTTTTCAAAGTGGGAGTCTAGTTTGGACATTCAATGTCTGAACCATTCTCTCCCACTTATAAAACTTAAGTGGCAGGTTTAGACATCCAATGTTTGAACCTCCACTTAATGTTTTCTTAAGAAGACCTACAATACGCTCCCAAACGGGCATCCTGTCCAATTTTTAGATTGTCAGATCTAAATGTTTGAAAACTCAAAATATAGTTACTTTTTTTTAAATACTTATCTACTGATTTTAAAATGGATCCCAAATAGGTAAAAAAAATACTCCTGCACACAAATTTTAACTGGGGAGCCAAGTGTATGGTGTGTGCCTATTGGAGTATGTTATTAGAAAAAGCTAACACATACGAGGGGAAATGTGAGTCACGTGTGGGCTGAACAAATTGAATGAGCTGACTAGACACATGAGCCAACTTGACTCTTATAGGTCTTTTCACCCATTTCATTGGATATCTGGGTTCTCAAAAATTCTATACTCCTGCAAGAGCATACTAGCCATTACTCCCTTGGGTAAAGCCAATCTAGGAGAATTTACCCAAAGTTTTGAGAATGTAACCTCTTCAAACAAGTGGACTAAGCTCAAAAAAAAAAAAAATCAAATTACACTCCCAAGTTTTTGAGATCTAAAGAAGAACTTAAAATCCAGGGTTTTTAAAAAATAATCACCTATTTATTCTTAGGTGGATCCCAAGATTTGAGATTAAAAAAAAATCCTCCCAAGTAGCTCTTTGCCCGAGGGAGTGAGTGTACAATATGCTCCAGAGGGAATAGGATTATAAGAGTCAAGGAAGCTAACCATTCAACTCATTAAATATATTACTCCCTCCTGTAAAATTTGTGCATAGAACTTTTTTATCTAGAAATTTGGTGTCCACTTTAGAATCATCATATTAGTATTTTAAAAATTAAATATATTTTGAAATTTTAAACACTTAGATTTGACTGTCCAAAAATTAGAGACTGTGCTCCTACAGGAGCATAGTGATGATGCCTTCGTAAAAAAAAAGTGGAGTTCGGATATTTGATATCCAAACCCACTACTTATGGTTTTTAAGAGGGAGAGAGCAATTCAGAAATTGTATGTCCAAACCTATCTACAACTTAAAAAAAATGAAGTGACAAAAAAATTGAGTAGTTCGATCATCCATGTCCCATCTGCTTCTCACTCAAAAAAAGAATAAAAAAAAAGGACTATGATTTGGTTCGCTAATTAAATGGGACTTATCTGTAGATTTCCCAAGGAAAAAAGGAAAAAATAAAAAGAACAAAAGCCATCATTATTGATTGAATGATTGCATACTAAAGAGTGAACCCATGACGAGATACATTACAGACTGATTGCTGTGTAACAAACCGAGAAAATGGATAACAGTAATCAAAGATGTGAATGACCTGAATAAATGGGTCAACTCAATATCCATTTTGCTTTATGATATTGTTGATATTTAGTTGAGTGCAACGCAAACTGAGACTCAACAACTGCAAATGAGAAGACCCCAAGACAGAGAATATGCTCCATGTGGTAAAACATTGGAAGCCAATGATAATATCAGAACAAAACTACAAATGCAACAAGGCCCAGATGCTCATAATGGTTATCATACCAATGTCTGATACTTGGAGAAGTCAATCAAACTATAGAATATGCAAGTTGAAGTGATATTCATTGTGATATCCAAATCACAGGCAGATCTCCAATAAAATTGTACCATCATTGAATACAAATAGGGAGGGATTGCTGAATGACTAAGATGGTTCATATAGCAGGAATCTCGCATATTAGCTAAAGGCCAGGTTTCAATACTAACCCTTGTGTTGAGAAAACTCATTTCACATTCTCACAAATTCAAGGAAGTCTGAGTACCACATTAAGGGATCCACTGCGAGGTCAGAAGATCCTTGTGACTCATCGCATGTAAGAGAAGCTAGAAAAGATGTTGAGAGTCCTTTTATCTTTTTTGTTCAACCTATTTTAGTGACATGTCTATTATTCTAAATCTGAAAGGAAATTCTGATTCATAGGCAGCCAAATCTGATACATGAAGAGGCAGCGAGCATAAAAGATAATGCAGCTCATGAGGGGTAAGTCGAGTAAACATGCAGAGAATCACAGTAGGAAAAAAATTATGAGATGGAGAGAAACCCAATCGAAAATAAAAACACCTGAATTTGGTCCAATTTTGAAAGGAAAAATCTGAGAATGGGTAAGCATAAAACAATTATAAAACAAACCAGGAATAGCGTGCCTAACGTTCAAGAAAAAGGTAGAGTTGAACAGCATATTTTAAGTGTATAAATCTAAAATGAAAGCTACAATTATACTATGAGACCACTTACCATTGTTACAAGGAGGACAATACCAAGAATATTTATTTAACAAACAGTAAAACACCATCCTTCCCCATTCTTTTTGCTCTTCCCCATAAAATCTCAACCTTATGATGCATAATGCAGTTTTTCCCCTCAAATTTAGCCAAGGATATGCGGTAATAGAGGCTAGCATCATTTTGCTGATGAGGGTTTACTACTAACGAGCAAAGACAATGCATGCAGTTATTTCAACCATACAAAACGAGGATGACTCAAAGGCTTAACTATATGCAAACCAAATCCACATAATAAGGTCAGTTATAAAAAGTAAAACTTAAAATCAAGAATCAGCATGGGCAGCCATGGAAAAATGAAACTTTCTCCTATGGCTTAACACACAAAACACAAGAAAGGAGAAACCATGAAGCATGCACCTAAACCTTAAATGGGTTTCTCAGAAAACTAGGGAACCTTTCCATAAGTTCTCATTCCCATATAATTCATATAAGTTTGGGAATTGACAACCTTGATTGGATTGCTCGCAATGTGCTAACAACAATGTCACGAACTTGTGCTACTCAGCTGCAATAATGTTTAACATTGTTGTCAGCTCATTTACCAATCCAATTAAAAATAGATAGATGTCGATCCCACACACATAAATTATATGTGAATCCATTCAAGCTCACGCCATGAAAATTTCATAATATCTAAGATAGCCCAATGGAAATTACAGCTCTAAAACATACTGCACGAAATAAAATAGCTACTAGCTAGCTAGCTAAAGAGAGAGATAAGGAAAACAATAGAGAGAGAGACCTGTAACTTCACAGGGTCAAGCTCTGGGACCCCAATATGAGAGACGGTGAGCGCCCCAAAGAAATTCCCCAGCAATGCAGCATCCCTCACACTGAGGCCACATACAAGCCCAGCCACAAACCCGCCCAAGAAGCTGTCCCCAGCGCCGGTAGGATCCACCTCCACAGCCCTGAATGCAGGCACCTGGAACTCCCCCTCCCTCCAATAAACATGACACCCCTCCGCCCCATCAGTAACAATCACGCAACCCCCCCTCCTCAACTCCTCAATGTCCAAATACCTTGATTCTTCAGCCGAGGTCTTGAGGAATTGGACCCTGCTGATAAGAGAGAAAAATGGGGTGGACGAGAGAGAGATGAGCTGAACTGCCCCATCAACAGGATCAAAGGTGCGGATTAAGGCCTGGACATCGACTAAAACAGTATCACATAGGTCGAGCATTCGAGCCAGGGTCTCAACAGTGGTCTCGCCCCCAACCCCCACAGCCATGCCAAAATCGTAGAGAGAGGAAGTGGGGAGATCGGAGGGTGAAATCGGATCGCAAGCACAAATGCGCCTGAGGGTTCTGTCAGGTTGATCATTGAAGAAGTGGGCATGAAAGAGAGTAGTGAGAGAAGAGGAGGCTATTACCGGAGGGTGGAGGAGAGAGAGGGGAGATGAGGAGTAGGCGAAGTTGGGGCCCACTTTTGCGACAATAGTGGTTTTGGAGGAGAGATAGAGGGATTCAAGGACCTGCGATATGAAGGAGGCGGCGCCACCCAGTGTCTCGCCCACTACCAGGCCATCTCTGAAGAGGACATCATGGCAGTAGTTTCCCACCACCAGGAGCTCCTCCTCTTTCTCCTCTCTCATCTCTTTCCCTGAAACCAACAAATCCTCCTTCTCGTCCTCCTCCTCTCTCATCTCTTTCACTGAATCTAACAAATGGGTCTTTCAGTTTCTGAAACTAACAAAAGGGTTCTTCAGGTAAAACTAAGAACTGTGTTCTCACAGTTTCTCTGAAACTAACAAATGGGTTATTCAGGGCAAATGCAAACAAAGTGTTAAATAGGTTGGCAAAATGCAAACAAAGTGTTAAATAAGTCGTTCATCGATCAAAACTTATTGAATTGGCTGTTTATTGATCATAGGATCAGCCTCGAAGAAAGGACCCACTCAGTATTAATGGTATGGAAGGCCCAGATTCCCAAGCTCTCCTCTCTCTGCAATTTCCTTTAATGGGTTCAGAGGAATCCCCAAACTCTCTCTCTCTCTCTCTTTATCCACTAAAAAAACCTTGTCTGTATCTTAATTCATTTCCTCCATCTTTCGTTTGTGAAAATCAAAACTCCATGGATCCTCAGATGAGTTGAGAATGCATGCATGCGATGAATCGTTTGTGGCTTCACAGGTGGTGGCAGCTGCTCTCAAATGTCATTATGGCTGCGATCAAAGAAAGAGAGAGATTCGCCCTTTTCGCGCGGGGATGATACGCCACTGCTTTCGAATTTGGAAAAATGGACGGCTCCGATTATGCTGGTAGGATGCCAACTTGCTTTTTTTTAACCGAACAAAACATTTTATTTTATTTTTAAGGGTCAATTATCGTTAATATACTCGAATTTTTTTAAAACCGTAAAAGAAACCAACTTTTTTCAAAGCCTCGACCACATTTTTTAGACCATTCTCACACTTTTATGGTAGCCTTTAAACGGTAATAAAAATTACGATATTAAAAATACCACAATAAACAATCTAAACAGTACACGTAATATCGTAAATGTTATCAACCCTAATTGATCGAAGGCAAATCAGACATGTATATTTCACCTTCCCCAAAAAGCCTCCAAATAAAACTATCTCCTTGAGAGAGAGAATGACATAAATTCAGGTTTATATGGAAAAAGGGAGAGAGAGAAGAGCATAAACACAGGCTTATACGAGAGAGAGAGAATGGCATAAAAGCAAACCGCTAATGAAGCCTTGGTTATTGATTTCAAACAAATAAGAGAGAAAATGGCATACATGCAGGTTTATATGAATATGGTTGATCCCTCTTGAAAGAGAGCAGCACTCATCTGTATTGTTGCTTCATTCTTTTATGTACATCAGAATAATAACAGTAAAATGGAAAAGAAAAGCCGCACTTACTACTCTTCTCTCCTCCACCGATTAGAAACCAAAATAGAGCCCTACATTTACTGTACCATTTAGATTATTTAAGAGATTACGATACTATAAATACCGTAATTGTTTTATAAATACCGTAATTGTTTTCACTTTGTAAGTAAGTATTGCAGTACAAGTAGTACATAAATAATTTTATAAGTACTACGGTACTAATATTACCATAATATTTAGTTAGAACATAACGGTACTAATGATACTGTTATCAGTTTATTGAGGTATTTTCAATACCGAAATTCTTATTACGGTACAAAGATTACCGTAAATAGTAGTTTCGTCCAAAAAAACGCGAAAATGGTTTAAAAGGGTATGGCCGAGGTTTTTAAAAGTTAGAGATTTTTTTTCTAATTTTTAAAAAATTTGAGTATATTAACAGTACTTTCCCCTTTTTTTAATATGATAAGTTAACGATGGGAATGGAATAGAGGGTGAGACATTTGGGTGCCAACTTTACTGAGAAGGGAAAATAACAAAGGAAAAAGTTTATATAAAATTGAATCCTTAAAATGTAGAAATAAAGTGCATTTAACAAAATCAATGAGGAAGGGTTTTTTTGATGTAAGAAAAATTTATAACTGATCATGATCATAGAGATGTGTGATTATGAAAACAAACAAGATTTTTAAGTTCAAAACGTATTGCATTTTGCAACACATTATTTCGACCGTCCATTTTCAAGATTCCATATTCATAAATCTACTTAATTCGAAGTATTTTTGGAGTTTAAAATTTTTGTAATTGGGGATGAAAATGGGTTCTTAAACCATCTTAAGAATATTTGATACCAAAATTATATTCTATAATAAAATTTAGAGGTCCGCGGTATACGCGAGGCAAAGGTAACAACATGTCGACGGAAGCTCGGATCTGACTAGGTTCTACATGGACCTAAACCCTACCTAGACCCAGGTCCGGCCCAATTATTTTGAATAAAAACATACAGGATTGTGTTAGGTTGGCCGACCCGACCCGACCCGACAGTTCCAGGCTGGACCTAGTCATGGAGCTGAGCCAGATCCGACTCTCTAGTTCCAAAACATACATTCGAACGTGGACTCATTCGGGTTGACCCTACGTGGGGCCATCCGTTTTTTGCTCCTCTCTCCCGTCCAACTCTCTCCTATAAAATAAAAAAAAAACTAGGTTTGTTTCTCTCTCTTTGCTTAGATCCCCTGTTAACCTCTCTTGGCAATGGATGTTGCCATGTTCTCTCCATCTTCTCTCTTTGGCCACTCCTCTTCAGGTATCTCTCTCTTCAGCTCTCTCTCTCTCTCTCTCTCTTTCTCTTTCTCTCTCTCTATCTATCTATTCTTATATACCCATTAATTATGATTTTCAGATGATGAGGATGGTTCAGGGAAGAAGAAAGATTCCTATGTTAAGAGGAAGCATTATTTTCCTGGTGGAATGGTAACTCCCAAAATTTCCTCTTCACAATTTCGGTCTTTTGTTTAGGGTTTGCTTTAGGGTTTAGAAATAGAAAGTTAGAGCGTTCTCACCCTTCATTTTATGGAAAAAAGGTTTAGGGTTAGATAAGTGCCCTGGGGAGATATTCTTTAATCCAAATTTTTTTGCATTGCCTTAACATCACCTGTCATCATCATCAACAACACCACCCTATGAACAATTTAAATAGGAAAAAAAATGATGCTGAGTTCTTGAAACTTTAAAGGCTAGGAGTGTTAAATGCGACTGTTTTTTGGGGGAACTTGATAAATATAAACTGCATTTATACTCAGACAAATATTTTGAAAAATCTGCAGGAATTGTTTATTCGAGAATTCTCATTCCATTTCCTGAATGCAAATTTAGTATGGCCTGGGACTTTTGCATTTGCGGATTGGTTAGCTGAACGCCACTCATGGTTAATAGGGAGGCGTGTCTTAGAGCTCGGCAGGTCAGGCCTATGTTTGATTTTGGGCAATTTTTTTTTCTCAATTAAGATCTCAACTATTTTTAATCTTCTAACTCAAATTTGCTTAGAATTATTTTTGTTGGATTTAGAAAATAAATTTTTTTTTTTGCATGTGTTATCTACCCCAAGTTGCCCACAGGAGAAACAGAGAAGGAAACAGTGTACCAATCAATCATTTTTATCTATTTCTCCTCAATTCTATTTTTTATTTTTTATTCTATATGTCTATCCTAAGTTCAACAAAGAGAAGAATGAGTATCAACCAATCCTTTTTCTATCCCTTGGTAGGAATGTTTATCTGCAAAATCAATGTTCTGTTCATGAATGCATTTTTGAGTGATGAGTACATCTTCTTTTATCTGAAATGGGCATATTATTGATGACTTAATGGTACTCTGGGTCACACTCATGGATCATTTGTTTGTAGATTGTAAAACATACTTGAATTGTTTTCATAGGCGTTGTAATGCCTGGTTCTCGGACATTGGCTCGAGGCAGTTCCTCTACCCCTTCTTACCATGAAAAAAAAAGCAAAGTCACCTTTGCGTCCTTGAACTGATAATCACCGTTCAGCTAACCTAGCCTCCTCCCTAATTTGCTTATGAACAATGACGTTGCACACCCCCATAACAATATGCAAAGCTACTCTTCATTATTTGACCATCAAGTTAATATGGCTGATACATTTTTCTGGTTTATTGCAGTACCATTGCTCCACCAATATGGGCATGTACAATGTTGAACATGTTTAATAAAGTGCTCATATTTTCTACTAAATTTTTGTGGAACTTACTTTTCATTGTAGACTTATGGATGAACTTTTATGTGTTCAATTCTTGCTTATCAAATTTTTGTGGCATTTATAGATGTTATATTATATGCAAAAATTAGTTAGTCATGGGGGATTTCTATCTATCAATTGTTTGCAATGTTATGTTTCTTAAATATGTTTTCTCTTCCTGGTAGTGGCACTGGGGCGCTCTCAATTTTCCTGAGGAAATCATTTGAAGTTGATATCACAACTTCAGATTTTGACGATGAGGACATCGAAGAGAATATAGCACACAACTGTGAACTAAATGGCGTACCAATGTTGCCGCATATCCGACGTATGTATATCCTTATATATTTAGGAGCACCACAATGCACATAGAGCTGAATGTGAATATTCACGGTTATGATCATTGGATAGTTCAACTCATACAAATGAAAGCCAGAAACATTTGCACATAGCAAAGCAAATTCAGAACAATGTATTCCTTTTAAAAGTTACAACAACATAGACCAATGTTACTCATTCTAATGTGCTAAAAGAATCTAGGGATGGCCAATAGTTGAGGGAAACCTTTCTCCCCACATAATTTATCGATCTGAAGACGAACAGTTGTACGCTCTTAGTACCAACAATGTTGTTAAGTTGGCTCACTCCTATCTACCCAATCAAGATTGGATGGATGGATCTTTACCAAGAACATATAAATTATATATTTGTGTAGAAAGTTCACTCAACAGTTGATGGCAATGTAACTTTGTGGTTTTATACGGGGAAAAAAGGTTATGGCAAAGTAATTTTGTGGTTTTGGCATAACGAGGGGCAATTTTCACTTAGAGTTTTCTCCTGACTGTGAACTTTCTTCAACGAACATTTTTATCAGATTCATGGGGAGATGATTTTCCAAACCCCTGTCCAAATTGGGACCTGGTCATTGCCAGTGATATACTACTTTGTAAGTGTTCAATCTTTGAAGGCAAACTCACATGGTATTTGACATCGCATAATCATATTGAACAGTACTTTTTTGTTTCTGGTTGCCAGATGTGAAACAATATCCAAACTTGATAAAAACGCTATGCTTCCTTCTCAAAACATATAAACCCAAAGGTGGAGAAACCAGGACCACTTTTAAGCTAGGTGAGTAAGCAATATGGTGGAGGACCAAATGTTGATGGTGATTCAAGAGCAAAAGAAAAGGATTTGGTTAATTTGAAGTGGGGTTTTTTGCAGGATCAGATGTGGAAGTGGCACCTCCAGTGTTCTTGATGAGTTGGAGACGCCGGATTGGCAAAGAGGATGAGGCACTCTTCTTTAGCAGATGCGAGGAATCTGGTCTGGATGTTGAACATATGGGTTCGCGCGTGTACTGTATTAGCCCTAAAGTGTGATATCAGTGGAATTATCCATGAGAGAGAGAGAGGTTCTTATCCAGACAGTTTTGTAAAGATTGCAAGGTCAAGATAAATTCAGTTATTTCTTTTAGAGAAATTCATTGATTTTTGCCGCGTTTTCTCTTAATGTTTCTCTAGAGATGCCATTTCAAGGTCGGGGTGGCAACAGGTCTGGCCCGGGGCCGGGCCGGACCCAATTAGTATTTGGGTTTACGTTTTGGATCAAGATTTGATCAAATAGCGTTTGGGTCCAGGTTTTGGGCCTGGACCCGACCTGTTGGGTTAAAAAATTGGACCTATACTCGGACCCGAGGTCGGGTCTACTGGTCTGAGCACCAAGGTCTGGTCGTGGTCGTGGCCATTGCCACCCCTATTTCAAGGGAGAGGTCTTCTTTTCTTTTTTCTTTTGGTAGGGTCGGCTTGGTTTGTCTATGGAAGTTGGAAGCCTGGTTATGCAAACCTCAAATTTGTAAACAAATAGTAGAATATCAGTATGCTTTCGCAACGTACTAGATGAACATCAAAAGGCCAAAAAATTTACCAGGGTTAACTGAAAACTCAAAGCAACCAAACTTTGATAATGTCAACATGCAATGTGATATAAGTTGCTAAAAAATATCCAAAAAAAAAAAAAAAGAAAGAAAAAACTAGGTCCGAAACTCGAGTCGTAAACACAACGTATTACTTGGATCAAATCTTCCCCTTTTTTGGCTGGAGAAAAATGAGACTTCTTTGTTCCTTGCACATGAGTGGGTAGCGTGAACTTTTTGCCATGCAACTTGGTATGAAACCCCGATGAGTCCTAATCTATCATCGGAACTTTATCCCAGCATTGGAATTTTATCCCAATTATTTGAAGCCAGCTACGATTATTTAAAGCTAACTACATACATCCAATTCCACCATTCCATTCCGGCCTGAATAGATTAAAAAAGAAAGTATCCCTTTTCCCTTCCCTGAGGGCACCATTCCATTCTAGCCTTAATGGCTTAAAAAAGAAGTACCCCTTTTCCCTTCCCCGAAGGCTTGGTTATTAGGAAAAGATCCCCACGCTTAATTGGCAGCACTTGCACTTGATGATTTGCAACGCTATGTCCTTGGTTCAATTCCTACCAAGGGTAAGGCCAAAATACCAAGGGTGGGGGCCAACAAAAAAAAAAGGCCTGGTTATTGTTCCACTTGATTATGATATTAAGACTACCTTTTCTTTTATCACAATCACCTGACAATTGACTATGAGGATGTCAAAATGAGGCCTTGTTCCATATATATCTAATTAAAATGGAGTGCACCAGAGAGACAGCATGTCTACAACCCACTGATCTGTAATTGTTGTAAAAACTTTTCATTAATAACCATTGACATTGCTATTTCATAACGGGTTATGAAAGTAAAACCAATAAAAGTATTTTGTAGTGCATCCAAAAAGAATGATATGCCAATCGGCATCGCAAATGATAATACACTCCAAGAAACCTGTAAGATGATGTGCAGGCTTATTTAGTTCAACTGACAAAGAATTACCGTTAACTTCTAAATTAGAGTATGATTTAACCAATAAGAAGATGTAACCCTGGTTTTGACATTCAGCCACACAAAACCCTCCTAAGTTGAAAGAGCCAAGCCGCCACTTGCAGGCCGAGAAGGCGAGCCTCCACAATTATTTCCTCAACCAAGATGCTCAATCCTGACCATAATGATTTCTTTTGTTGCATCCTCATCTCAATGATAGCCTCGGACGAGACCCTCCCAATGATTAAGAATGTGTCAAGAGAAGCTCCCTGCATACATCAGATGGACACAAATGTTTATAGTATTTGTGCAACCACTATTACAAGTTAACCCAGTAAAGGAGTTCACAGATAGAGCATCATCAACCAAAGTACCAAACAACTTCTCTACCACTAAGCCGAAGCCCAAAAGACAAAACAGCTGAAGCCTAAGACACACTAAAAAAGTGAAAGCAGCAGACATGGAAATTGATGCTTCCTGCACCTTCATTTCTCTGTCGTAATATGTGAGAGAGATGTGTATGTGTGTGTGGGAGAGAGAGAGAGAGAGAGAGAGAGAGAGAGAGG